GTAAAATTATATATAGTATTATATTTTGAAGGATCAAATATGTTATTCCTAAACTTTGAAAGAACATATGTGCAAAAGCCCATAAAAAACAACAAAAAACACATCCATCGATCAAAGTAATGAAATCAATTTCGTCCGGTCAACTTCGGCGTCTACGACAGTCTCACTGGTCAAACCATGCTGAATTAGCACAGTGACATTGTAGTAACATCATGAAATTAACAATCAGTATGATTGTGTGTCATACGTGAAGGTATATCAAATCTGCTCCAAAATATGCCATAATGTAAGTCGAATAATACACTTGAAATGTTACATCACATTGGATTTGGGGCCACTAAAATCATTAGATTTCACTGCGATTACCAAAGATATTACATCGAATATGCTCCTTTTCCTCTCTTCTTCGAGAGAGACAGAGAAGCAACCACCAACAGTTTCCAAAACCGTATACAAAATCCAAGATGGAGAGAGCATGAAACTACGAATTCCGAGGCAAAGATGAGATCTTATTTTACAGAGGTTGGTGGCGGCAGGCTAAGGGTAGGCGACGAGGCGGCGGGAACAGTGGGTGCAGGAGTACTTGCGCTTGACACTGCGGGAGAGGGGGAGGAAGCAGAGCCGCCGCGCGCTCTCCACGTCGGTGGCCATCACCGCGCCGCCGCAGTGAGGGCAGCTCCCCGGCGCCTGCTGCGTCCCCAGCACCTTCTCCTCCTCGCTGCACAGCAACACCAGACACATCTCCCTCCCTCTCGTCTTCGTCTTCGTCTTCTTCCTCCTCCTGCAACTAAAGATCCACTGGACCTGTCACGGCTATAAAGAGAAAGGAGAAGAGCGAGACTCGGCGTTGTTGTTTGAGCCCACACGCACCGAGAGAGAGAGAGAGAGAGTGAGAGAGGAGGCCTACGGAACTTTATCTTATAGGGAGGGTGTCTTTGCCTTGTTCTTCCTCTTTAATATTGTATATTTGATTCGAATATTCTTGAAAACTCTATATTACTAAAGAACATTTATATTGATTATAGATTAAAAAAAATGCAAATATTTATCGTATGTGACAATCTATTTTGGTCCCGCGAGATTACAAAATCGATTTGATGGTAAATCAAGATATATCTCCTCGATTGTTCTACTAAAGAAATCAAAATTCATACTATTTTTGATATATTATGGAGAAATTATTATTATTATTTTTTGATATATTAATAAGTGTAGAAAAGTCCAACACGAAAGTTGGACAGTCAAAATCAATTTTTTTTTCTTACGTTCAATTCCTCATTGTGATAAGTATTGTGGAATGTAATAAGTAAGACGTCTTTTTAAAAATATGGTTCAAAATAAAGGTTGACTTATCAAAGAAACCACCAAAGGAATCACTATTCCTGATGAGACATGTCGGCGAATTTAGCCTTGTACGAATATTCTAGAAGCGTAGGGTAAATTTCTCAAACATATAATATAATGATGGGTAAATTTTATAAAAAAATTCTAAAATTTTCATTTGTTTTCTCATAGAATATCTTTTATTTATTACATAACCTTTATTTTTTTAAAAGATGAGATTATCACTATATGATCGATCTTCGTACCATTGCGATGGTTGACCTCGATGAAAGGGGAGGAGGTAACCATAATGAGGCTTCCTCTTTATCGTCCCCTAGATGACCCATCGCACTATGTATTGTTAGATGAACCTATTTGCCACTCTACCCCCATTAGTAATGCTACCACCTTCATCATGGAAGGACTCTCCCCCTCGATCATCACCCAACCTGGTCGTTATCTTTGATGGATATCGTCCTAGCCATTCCCTCGAAGACCTAAGAGGTCCGCCCGACCTCACTCTTTGTCGACCTCGATGAGATTCCTATGTCACCCTACTATCAATCGCAGACTTAGCTAGGAATGCTTAAATTGCCAGACACCCTTACGTTATTCATTTGCAATGGGTCAATCTAGTTGCAACCGCACTCAGGTCTCGAAGAACATGCAAAAGAGAAAATTGATTAGTTTCAAAGCGAGTGATAAACAAATATCAACGTATCGCAAAGAGGACAACTTTACAAGCAATTCAACAAATATTTGGTATGTAAGAGAAAAAAGAGGAAGGAGAAAATAAGGACTTCAGAAGGCAAACAAACAATCGCAAGTCTATAAACGATTACTCACCAAGTATCATACACGTTAGCAAGTCCCCGTAGGCTTTACAAGTGAACTTGTGAATCCAATCAATGCCCAACACCTAGTGAATAATCGTTTGTGGACTTGTAACTATTCGTTTGCCTTTTAAATTATATATTATCTTCTTCATTTCTTTTATCTCTTGCACTCTAAGTATTTCCTGAATTGTTTGTAAAGCTATCCTCGAGACTTATCTATCACTTGTTTTTGAAAATAATCAATTTGCTCTTTTACAAATTCTTAAGACTTGAGCGAGGTTGTAATTAAGTTGACCATTTACAAATGGATAATAGAGGATACCTCATGATTTAGACAATTTCAAAAATTTGTGATATTGTAATATTAGAGTGGGCAAGCAATTCAAGCAAATAATAAAAGTTTACAATCTCGCCATGATAAAACACCATGATGAAAAGGGCAAGACAGGATAAACCAAACCATTGTCCCAAGCAATCATAGGTAGGTTGCAAGTACAAACTTACTCTCAAGTTATTAGAGTCGCTCAAGAAGATCACGGTAGCGAAAATGACAAGCAAGAAGTTGACTATTCTTCACGAGCGGAGGAAGCACAATTTGGAGCGCCAATCGGAAAGAAAAGCTATAAGGAGAGATTTATAGCTGCGAAAACCTGTCTTGATGTTCCTGAAACTGGTCTAAAGGAACTTTACCGAGGCCAACAAAGGCTTTTTGAGATAGAGAATTTCCAAGAGGAGATAAAATATCAAATCAACAAGATCAAGTCCCAAGTAGATTGATTGACGAAAGACACTTAAAGACTCAATGCAATACCTACAAGAAGTCATGGTGAAACTCAAGTCTAGGATTACGTTGCTCACGAGGGCTATTAATATGGAAGAGAATAACACCTGCGTTGCTTCGCCAAAAAACTTAAGGGCACCTAAGCCGCGTTACTATAACGGTGCCAAAGAAGCGAAATAGTTCAAGAATTTTCTGTTCGACATGGAATAGTATTTTCGAGCTATGAGGCTCGATTCTAAAGAAACCAAAGTTTCGATAATAACTATGTATCTGATGGAGACACAAAACTTCAGTGGCGAACATGTTGGAAAGAGATCCAACAAGATCAGTGTTAAGTGAACACATGGGAGGACTTGAAGCGGGAGTTGAGAACTTAATTTTTACCATAGAATACTAGGTTTGTTGCAAGAATGAAGCTAATATAACTCTGCTAAAGCACTTCCATTCGGGACTATGCAAAATAGTTCTCAGCATTCATATTGGACATACAAGATATGTACAAGAAGTACAAGTTGTTCAGCTTCCTCAATGGCCTAAAACCATAGACACAATAGAAACTACATCGAAGGAATATAACTGATTTGGTTGAGGCAATCGTAGATGTAGAAAGGCTCACCAACTTTATTTTATCGGAGAAGAAGAAATAATTTTTGGGAAATCACTCATCTAAGTATTCCCGAGAGAAGTCTGCAGTTAAGAAAAAAAAAAAAAGTTCCCACAAGGGTCGAATTAAAAAGGCAAACCCTTAAAAGTTGATGAATATTTCTTGTGTATTGTGAGAGAGTACTTACAAAAGTAAGCATTCAATGCGTTGACAACATCAATCCATCCTTCTAGATTGGACAATGACAAGGTCGTCACACTTAGTTCTAGTAATTTGGAATCTAACAAAGACAATGAAGAGTCACAAGGACCTCGGATAGGAGCAATGCATTTATTGAATGCATTACAGGATCAAGTGGAGGAGAACGTGAAGACAAAGCAATAGAAAGTAAGAAACAACGAGCTAATACACATGGACATTAAGCTAAATAGCCAAACAACCTATGCGATGATGGAGACGAGTGCCACCCATAATTTCATTATTTATTGAGTAGTAAGACAACTTGGGCTAAACCTAGAGAAGAGCCCAAATCAGATGAAGGTTGTGAATTCGGAGACTAAGTAGATGTAGAAAGGCTCATCAACTTTATTTCGTCGGAGAAGAAGAAACAATTTTTGGAAAATCACTCATCTAAGTATTCTCGAAAGAAATCTGCAACTAAGAAAAAAAAAAAGTGTTCCCACAAGGGTCGAATTAAAAAGGCAAAGTCCAAAAAGTTGATGAATATTTCTTGTATGATTGACTACACATGTTGAGAGAGTACTTCAAAAGTAAGCATTCAATGCGTTGACAACATCAATCCATCCTCCAAGATTGGACAATGGCAAGGTCACCACACTTAGTTCCAGTAATTTGGAATCCAACAAAGACAATGAAGAGTCACAAGGACCTCGGATGGGAGCAATGCATGAACGTGAAGACAAAGCAACAGAAAGTAAGAAACAACGAGCTAATACACATGGACATTAAGCTAAATAGCCAAACAACCTATGCGATGATGGAGACGAGTGCCACCCATAATTTCATTATCTATTGAGAAGTAAGACAACTTGGGCTAAACCTAGAGAAGAGCCCAAATCAGATGAAGGTTGTGAATTCGGAGACTAAGTAGATCTTCAAGTTGAAAAAGGGGTCCCTATCAAAATCGAGACATAGAGTGAAAACATAAAAATGATATTGGTGCCACTAACAATTTTCAAGTGATCCTCGTAATGAAATTTATACCTGATGATGAAGATGATGCTAGGGCTGTTCCTAAACTCTCTATTCTTGATGGGAGGCAAGAATGTTAGAGAAGTCATAAACAAAGTTGGCTTCACAATAATGAAAGCTATCTTTTGCATCTCCTTGAAACGAAACTCAAGAGATCACATACGAAGCAGTTCATGAATAAAATTTTTCTGTATAGCTGTAGTTTCTAGCTAGAGAAATTCTAAGCACTATTTTGAAGATTGAATTTTAATACAAAGAAAACAGATGATAAGTAAATATCAGTAGTTTGCAGTTTACAAAGTTTGAGGTAAATCTTTTCTCATCATAATCATCATAACCAAATCCTTCACCAACCGACATTGAGTTGACAAAAAGCTTACAGTTGACCATGAGAAGGCTAAAGAACCAACATGGAGCTAATCTTCATCTCCAAGGTCCCACAAGTAGTGACAATGGATTAAAAGAAAAAAAATCTAATAATTGACTACATGATTGGTAGAAGCTAAACTAAGCAGAGTTAAAGAAACAAGAAAACATTTCGCTCATCCCATCCATCCATGCTGTCCATTGACAAGGCCACAAGTATGGATCTCCCATAATGAATTGTGACCATCAGCAGTAATTGCAGGCATCTAAGCATCCCAAGCTTCAACAGAGATACTAAGGGGAGAAGAAAAATAAAGAATAATGAAAACCATAACCAAAGGGAATAAGGATTTTAAAGGTTTGGTTAGTGCAAAGAAACCATGAGAATGATGGACAACTGAAAACTCATCATGCTTCTGATAAGGCATTAGGCTTAGCTGGAGATGAAATTTGTTTTTGAAAGATCCTTCAATGTTCACTGCAGGCCAGAGTAAAATGCACTAATATATTATCTGAAAGAAAACCTAGTTTGACCAAAAAGGCCAAAGAACATTAGCAAGCCTTTTCGGTAAGTGGCTAACATAAGCAGCAGACCACATTGGATTCTGTAGCTTGCTTTTAGCTGGCCAACACCACAGATGTGGCTTGCTTCAGTATATGGCAATGTATCTGGTGCAATGCCTTGTCAAGTTTTGAGATTACCTAAATAATGAGTTCATATTGTATTTAGGACTTAAATAATGCTTT